CAAAATTTTAGTTGCACACAGACATTTTCAGTGTCAGAATGTTGAATTCAATTCATTTTAGTTCAGTTCAACTCAATTCAAACCTTAACTTTTCTTCAGTATTATATAAAAGAAATTGAATGGATTAATGATTTCCAATATTCTTTCCTGGCCTATTGTCCGTTACATGATCTTATTAAATGTTTGAAGGGCTGTCACATGGAAAAAACTCTGTCCTTACTTATATTGTCCTGGAACTGAAACCAATGGGTGGAAGTTATAGGAAAGTGTCTTACTTTTCAAATTATGAAATAACTTTCTATTAACATTAAGATTTTTAGATTTCTGACAAGTATTTTTGAGAATACCTGCTATATTACCAACACTATACAATGTGTCATTGAACTACATCATCATCATCATAACCATCATCATCATCATAATCATCATTGTGTTATTGAGCTTATGATCACAGGGAGAGTAAGCCAAAACTATTTGAGAAAAAGACAAGGCTGTATAAAATACTAACTCAAATAGACTTAACTTACCCAAACTTACGATAAAACAAAAAATATTGTGAAATTTTAGATAAAAGAGATCAGAATGAGTAAGAATGATCAGAAAAGGTACCATGAATGAAGTAAGACTTTAAATGAACTTAGGATAACAGAATTTGTATAGGTTAATAGTTCTCAAACTTTTTGGTTTCAGTATCCTTTTACATGCTTAAAAATATTTGAGGACCCTGAAAAGAGTTTTTCTTTCTGTTGATTGTATCTATTGGTATTTACAGCTTTAGAAATAAAAATACCTTAGAATTATTATGAAAATAATTTTGACCTCATAGACCACCTGAAAGACTCTTAGGGATGTCTAGGTATTCCTGGACCACACTTTGAAAACCACTGATTATATATAAAGTGGAAATCAGAGAGCTTTTCAGGTAACAGGAATATCATAAGCAAAGGGTTAGAGATGAGAAACAAGGTTTTCCAGTGCATAGAGAGTAATTAGTTAGCTTGGGTGAGTGATTAGGGTAAGTGATTTTTTTGCTCATAAGCAAAGAGATAATAATTGAAACCACTTCCATTCAATGTAACAAAGCTTTACTGTACCCAACTTTGCTGCGCTAGATACTAAAAGGTCTACAAATATGTGTGTGACAGTCCCTAATCTCAAGGAACTATGACTTGAAAGATGGACTCTATACAGAGATTAAAAAAAAAAAAGCCTGAGGCTCAAACTTGGGCAAAGGGTACTTGGCATAGTTTAGAACTAGGACAAGAAAGAGTAGCCAGTGAATGAGCCAGAGGAATTTTGGAGAAATAGCAGAATAAGATTATAGTATTAATAAAGTTAAGAAAATAAAATATTACAATATGGAATAATCACTAGTGTCTGTTAAGTATGTAGATTAAAGACTTAGAAAAGTCCATTTGATTTGGCCAGAAGAGATTGGAATAAGTTGGTATTGTCTGGGGTTAAGGAAGTAGTGAGGTAGGGACCACTTGGTCATCAGAGATAACGAACTAAAAGGGAAAGAATAACTTGAAATGAAGTCAAAGTCAAATTAAGGTTTTCTTTTATTTTTAAGATGGAAAAATCTATGCATGTTTGAAGGCAGTACATAAATCAGTGGTGAAGGAGAAATTGAAAATGATGAAGATAATTATTTGAGCTCAATATCTTGGGAATGGGGAGGAAAAAAAGGATATAAAATTGGAGTCATAGAAGAGGTGATATTTTTGAGAAGAGGAGTGATACCTCCTCTCTTGAATTGGAGATGGTAATTAGGGGTAGAGATAAATATATATTGAGTTGAAATAAAGTGAAAGAGTTCATATAATATTAGGGATAAGAACTGGACCTATAGTTTCATTGGTATAGAGAACTCCCAGGTAAGGGAAGAAACTCCCTTTACCAATGCAGGTTGGCACCATCTATGCAACATTTGGTTTTCAAGAGTTACCTAGAACACTAAGAGGTTAAGTGATTAAGTGCTCAGGGTCACAAGGTCAGTATGTATCAGAAGTGAGAAGAACCTATGTCTACCTATTTCTGGCAAGCTTTCTATCCACTTTGCCATGCTGCCTTTCACAACAGATTATCTGATATAGTTAATAATGAAGGACTTGGATGATGAGTGGTAGTTGTTGATTTTAGAACTGAAGGAGAAAGGAGAAGATCTGGAATAACTGTGGTGAGATACGCATGGAAGAATTATTAAATAATGGCAACATCCAGAATGAAGTGGTTTCCATTGTAGCTGGCCAGTTATGTATGGTTTGTTATCATTCAGCATCTTTCTTTAGACTTTGAGCAAGAGTCAAAGAAGAGCATGAAGTTCCGTATTTGGGTGCTGGTGTGTTTGATATTTCTTTTTCATTTCCAAAAGAATTTAATATATGAATCAATTTTTAAGTGATCCTGTCAAGGAATAGAATTATTGTACACTTAGCAGATTAATCATAAGGATAGAAATTGGACCTCAGATCTCATTGCAAAGGTAAATTCCTAGAAA